CTTTTCACTGAACTCCCTTGGGGGCAGGCAGGACAGCGTGACCCTAAGAGAACACAGTGAATGGCCAGCAGAACTAGCTTTACATCAAATCCTTCCTGTGGTGTCTAGAAATCAGGGCACATGATATAATTTAAAAATAATGTAAAATTTTCCCCAATTGTGTTCCCCCCCCCAAGGATCAATTTTAAAAATGGGGAAAAAAGCACAACAACTCTAGATTCCTTTGTTTCCTTTCCTTTCATGCCTTAAAATCTCCAGAGGGAAAAAATTCCTACGTGACAGATTTCAAAGGATAAAGGGACATTGAAAACATTGGAAGGAAACAGAAAATCGACAATGCCAGGGGCTAAGGGGACAGCCTGGAATACTCAACACTCAATTTTTTTAACTTTTCTGGCCCTGTAGTGAGCATCTGGTAAGCTCCAGGGGGCAGTAGGGAAGCATCAGACAGATCCAGCCATGAGGTACAAAGACCAAGGCAAGACATCGGGAAGCAAAATATACCCAGTGCATCAACATTTATGTTTTCCCTGTAATAAAGACAAATGCTTAATTCCATATGAATGCAATAGGAAATTGAGATATCTGGAATTGGTATAGAAACTGGAATATCTTGGCCTGATATAACCACGTTTTTGCCCAAGAAAATAACTGGAAGCTAAAATAATGTACAATTTTAGTTTGTCTCTCATTTTTAAAAGGCTGTGTTCCAAATATTCCTTCTTTTATTTTTTTTCCCCTGAATTTTGAGCCAGCTTTTCCATAGAAACAATGTGCTCTGACACAGTTGTGGACCCACGTCAAGTGACAGCAACATGTCTGTTTAGCACTCCACAGAGCATGCCTGGAGTTTTAGAAGTAATGGCCTGAGTGGTGGCTCTAGAAGTGGGGATCATAGGAGAATAAAGAACGAAGAATGCACAAAACTACCTTGCTGCTCATCACAGTTTCCACCAGAGCCAAAATTATGAAAGAGGAAAAAATGCTTCTATCCTGAGGTTCTCCATGCTCTAAAGTTGAATTTTACCCCTTCCTATGGCAATAACCCTCAGATATGTCCTATTCCTCAAGAATAAGACACACTATACAAATATCCACTGTTTACCTCCCTCAATAATTATATCTGATTCTTAGCTGTTTATACAAGGTGTTAGGAAGAAAGTAATCTGATTAAATCAACTCATACTAATGTGTAAATGACTGATTTGTCCATTTTCTTATACATACCACACACATGGGCAAACACTGCACATGCACACAATTGCAATTTTTTATGTGTTAGGTGGACATCATCCTAGAAACCAGAAAGATGTGTGTGTGTGTGTGTGTATATATATATATATATATAAACTATGAAGACCATGTCCAGGTAGCTAGCATGAATTCAGAAGAAAAGAGGCCTACAGACCAGGCTCTGGCTCACTTTAACAGTTCAAGGTGGAAAGAGACTGTGTTCCAGAAGTCTCCTCCTCCAGACAGGAGGCCTACAGAACTGTGATTCAGAAAAAGGAGAGCCTTCCTCTACTGACAGGTGCAGGTCTTTGAGCTTTGTAGACATACTAAAGGTTGGGATGAGTGAGAACCTTGGTGGACACTCCCTTGCTAGTAAATTTTAATGAGCATTGGATCCCAGGTGGTATGAGGAAGAAGCTCTCTCACCTGAAAAGCCACAAGCTAAAGCTCTCTCACCTGAAAAGCCACAAGCTATTTCCTTTGAACAACATGGTAAAATATATTTTTAACAAGATACAGCTATTTAATGCTGCCCTGTGGCGGGAGGACTGGCAATGGGAAAGTTTTCAATGCCCATATGACCACCATATCTAAGAATTCAAGATTCTCACCTCCAGAGGAGCAGCAGTTCAATAGACACAAAGCAGAAGCCTTTCTACTTTGGGAAAAGTGCCAAGATACCATCCTAGAGGAAAAAACTGGGCATCCAGAGCAAAGTTGATTAATGGCACACTGTAAGTGGAGAGAATTAGATTTTTTATTTTTTATTTTTCTACCTGGACTTTGTGATCTAGAAACATCATTATCATTTTATTTTATTTTAATTTTTAGGAGTCAGGGGATATAATAAACATGACTCTGAATCAGCAGGGTTGAAGAATAAAGTCAGAAATATTATGTTCATTTAGCATCTTTTTTAATTTGCATAGCTTTTGGGGGAAGAAAATGACTATTTATATAGATTTGATTATCTGAGATTACCCATGAATATATTGCTTAGGGAGCATGCTGTATAGTTAATACTGCAGCAAATTATAGAAGTTATCCCCATAATAGAGCAAAGAAATCTATGTCCCAATGGGAAACATTTATGGCAGTCATTATGTCATTTATGGCAGTCATAAGAGAAGTCATTTCAACAACTAATTATTCTGTTGTATTCTCCCCAAATAGAGTTTCTTACCTTTTGATGTCTCTACCTGGGTTCTGCATTGGCTTTTAGTAGCAGAACAGGTGACTTCACTATACGTTAAGCTCTGCTCTAATCTAACATTTCATGTTACAGCAAAAATGTGAATTTAACATGCAGCTGCCATATTTTTCTGGAGACTATTTGGAAAATTGGCATATAGAAAAAGTAATCAGTTTTGAGGTGTTGGATATGAGGAATTGGTGAATTACAAAACAAATTAGAAACAAAGACTTGATGTAGGGAAAGTATTTTTATCCTTTTTAAAAGAAATGCATTTGGTAGAATGAACTGCTGCTGCCTTTTCAGAAAAAAAAAAGACTGATTTTGGACAATTGTCACAAGAGATCTAATTCTGTCTTTGTTATTCCAATTTCCACATATACTCCTCCAGCATTATAAACCCAGGCCATCAGTGTGTGCTACCTTGGACACCATTTGATGCAGTGACTTAAGCCCTAGGGAAAGTAGACCCCCAAACATATTTCCTTATACTAACCCCAGAAGCAATGGCAACCGTGATGTTTAGCTTCTTTAGTTGAATATATTTTCTAAATATAACAATATAAGATTGTTAATATTTTAAGATTTCCTCCTGCTTGGTTAACTTATGGTAAGTTTTGGAGAAATATTCAAAGTACACATCAGATGCACAACTGAGCATAAATAGATTGAAAAAGTCTGCCCTCCTGCAAGGATCAAGAGTCGTCTAGGAGTTGGGTGCAGTGGCTGAGGTAGGAGGATGGAGAGTTCAAAGCCAGCCTCAGAAAAAGTGAGGTAGGTGCTAAGCAACTCAGTGAGACCCTGTCTCTAAATAAAATACACAATAGGGCTGGGGATGTGGCTCAGTGTTTGAGTGCCCCTAAGTTAAATCCCCGGTACCAAAAAAACCTGAGTTGTCTGGAAGGTTGAATAACCCTGTTCACTAAAGGAAGAGTGAGAATTCTTTCTAAATCCTTTGCCTCATCCATTAATTGGGCTGGACACCAAAACTATGTGGGTCCTTTTAATCAGGACCCCTCTAAGTGGTCAGGCTGTTGGAAAATACTACCATATATTGTGTCTGACCAGAGAAAGTCTGAAGACTTCCATGGTTACTCAGAGTTATTCAAGGTAACTATGGATTTATACTGGTCAGATCATCTTAAATTATTCAACATAAACAATGATCTTAAGAGCCACAATTATATTGAATTATTTATGAGAATTCTATTGATGCTTGACTAGATGGAAAATTTATATCCTAATATTTTCTCCAATCTTACCACAATTCTGAATGGTAAGTATGGTTGTCCCTATTTTACAGATGCAGAAACTGAAGCTCAGAGAAGTTAAGTCACTTTTCCATAGTAACTGAGATGATAAATATCCATGGAGAACTGCAACTGGTGAATTCCAATGAAATACAGTCATACACCATAAAATGACATTTGGGTCAACGATGGAGCACATATACCATGATGCCTGACTGTACATGACATAAATTGTACTTGTTTTCATTCTAAACCCCAAACCAAGATTGCCAACTATGACTAGCTACTAGCAATCATAGCAACTTGATCAAGACTGTGATATTTGTGGAAAATAGAGTGATTGGCTTCATTAGCTGAGCTAGATTTTCTTCCAGTCCTGTCTTTTTCCAAGCCTGCTCTAATTGTGTCCTTGGTCTGCTACTGGGCAGAGAATGAATGCCTTCTATGCTCAGAGTTAAGTCTTTATGTCTGTCAAGATGCAACTAATGCTAGGGAACAGGCCTAGAATTTCAATTACAATAAGCTGTGATATAAAACAGAGTCATTGGTGAGTTTAAAATACACATTTCTGGGCTCTACCTTCCATTGGGTCGATTATGGGTCTCCAACTTATGCATTTTTCAACAAATTCCCAGGTAATTCTGAGGCTCATCAAAGTTTTAAAAAATAGTGCTATTAATATTTGGTGTGATGATGCTTCACTCAGAATTCTGAGTCAACATAATGAGCTATAGTTGTAGCTTGGAAGAGAAATTCATTTTATAAGGGATGCATGAAGGCTGTCTTCAAAATGTGCACTTGGTCTGCTCACTTTTGTCAAAAATACTTCTCTCTATCCTGATCAATGTCTATTTCCTATTTACTCCCACTAATACTTAGATCAAAAGAATAGTTTATCAAGTATCTATTAAGTATCTTAGTTACCTAAACATACAGTTTCATGGAAATAATCCAAACCTTTTTCAATATAAAAGACAGATATTTTGTTCTTGAAGATGATTTGGTATTTTGTTTTGTGCTTTTGAAAGCATTCACTCTAAAGGGAAGCTGATCTGAACATCTATTCATCAAACTGATTGGCTCTCTCCGTGGAGGCCCTTTGGGAATGCATGCCTGTCAGCACAATGACACTGACCAGCTTTATAACCTTGAGAAGGGCCACTATTTGACAGCACATTATTTGGTAACACACTTATTTATCTCTGGTCTCGCATCCTTCACAGGCCTGGTTCATTATCACAGCCCTTAAAATTGTAGGAAAGAAAGGATCAAGAAGGCAAATGAGCTTCCACTTTGGGGGGAATTAGATAGAAGGCATTCTGTACCTGGCACTGAAGTCCCAAGTGCAACAAACACGACGGCGGTCACGGAATCTTTCAGGCCAATGGTGCAACCAAAGTGGGAAGCCAGATCTCCAATGAAAGCTGTCAGTAGGCCAATCATGAGAATGGAGACAATGAAGCATGCCCAGCCATTCCAGTATTCCGTAGGAGGGACGAAGGCAAACAGGACCTTCCAGAACACAGTCAGAAAGTGCATCACGTAATCAAAACAGGAGGGCAGCTTCTCCTCCCCACATTCATCATCGTCATCATCTTCCCCTGGAGAGAAAGGAATGAAGCACATTTCATTATGACCCAGGTCTTCCTCCTTCCTAACCTGTCATCCCTCCCCTCCAAGAGATAATTGGCCATCAGAGTTGGGTGAGGCTTAGGGTTTTCTAAGGGACGATGAACCATTAATTATCAAGGCACTCAAATGCCTCCTTATTGTGCTGGTTGGTCAATGGCAAAAACTTACCCCCACCTGGGTCTGCTTATGTGCAATCAGTATGCCCTTTCTACACTCATATCACTTCCTGTGGGGTTTGTCATGTCAGAGAAATAAAAAAGAATTTCTTCCCCCAGAGTTGCCTCTTTTGAAGACAGTTATTGTGGTCAGAGTCTACTAGGGATCTTTTCTCCTACTCCAGATCAATGATTATATAATTACCATCAGGATAATATTCATACAAGGCCTCAACCCACAATGGTGGCCCTTGTGTGTCACTCCAGCTTCATTTCCTATGACTACCTTAAAATCAACCTTTATCATGAATAAGTGAAATTATTTGCATTGTTTTCAAACCGTATGCACTTTCTCCCACTTTCACCCTTTAGAACTAAATGTGTTCAGTCCCTCCTTCCTTCTCCGTCTCCCTTGTTCCTTAATATTCATTTCCATGATGTTCTCTCAGATCTCCCCCACCTTAACCAGGGCTGGACACACTTTCTCAGAGTGTCCATAGCTCCCAACACTTTGGACTCTTGGTCAGTGATTCTCAAAATGTGCTCCCTAAGCCAGCTGCATCAGAAGCCCTTGGGTGCTTATTAGAAATGACAGTCCTCAGCCCCACTGATTCAGAAACTTGGAGGAGTGTGTAATAATAAATCTGGCCTTGAATAAGCCCCTCCACATGATTCTTATATGTTCTGCAGTTTGACAACTGCTGTTTTCTCTTAATTGTACCTATTTACTTTCCTCTCTTCTCCAGTTGACTGTGAACTCTTCATTTATCTTTGTGCCTCTAGTGTTTGGTACAATCTCCCTCAGGTAGCTAAATGCCTCTTAAATGAAAGAATGCATTCATGAATTTCTACCAATTTTATGTCAGTATATAATTCCAAAATATACACACACAGATCATAATTCCTTATTGAGTCATATTTGAAATGCACAAGAAAATAGAAAATTTATAATAATATTTTCAAGTGGAGATTTCATTGATAATGTGAAAATAATCCCCATTCATGTAATTTAAAATTAGGATATTGAATTTCAACTTTTCTAGACGTGGTAGGAGATATATAGATTCACATATTTTGTGGCCATTTTGAAAACAACTTCTTGAAGACTTTGTTCACCTGCTCCAATTTTATCACGAGGGATCTACTTTTTACTTCCCCCAACTAACACAGCTGGCAGTAGGTGGGGCTGTCAACTTTCCAGTTGTCTATATGACCAGAGATTGCCAGCATGGAGCAAATGTGCACTTCGTGAGACACCCCATGGTGAGGCCATCTGGTGCAAATCACGAGTGGGTAAACCCTCTGAAAACGAGGAAGCTTCAAGTAAAGAGTGCTTCTCACAAAACATGAAAAGAAGAATGTCTGGGTCTGTCACTTGTCACCTTACAGAAAAAGAGAGAAGTAGCAATGGCCTACTCTTCCAGGAGCATGTGGTCTGACCTATTATGTAAAACTTGGGGATCTGTCTCCTCCAGCAGATGAGCAGGACAGCCTTTGGGATCTGATTAGGTACAGAACTTGAGTGAACTTTGCTGACTGATACGTATGGGGGTGTAAAAAGCACCAGTGTCCTCCTCCTCCAAGGGCTCAGGCTATATGGTTATTACACATTTCTAAGAAGCTTGCCTAAAAGCACAAGGTGCTTCTTAATAAACTCACCTGGTATGGGCTGCACTGTCTCCCCCAAATTCATATGTTGACACCAATGTCCACCCCAATGCTTAGAATATGACCTTATTTAAAAAACAGGGCCTTTAAAGAGGTAATTAAGTTAAAAAGAGGCCCTCTGGGTGGGCCCTAATCCATTCTGATTGGTGTCCCTAATAAGAAGAGGAAATTGAAACACAGAGAGACACCAGGATGTGTGTGCACAGAGGAAAGACCATGTGACGATGCAGCAAAATATAGAATTTGCAAGCCACAAAGAAGTGGTGTCTGGAGGAACCCAGCCTGCTGACACCTTGATCTTGGACTTCCAGCCTCCTGAACTCTGAGAAAACAAATTCCTGCTGTTTACACCGCCTAGCCTATGGCAGCCCTGGCAAACCAATGCAGCAGGCCTTCAGGAGCCTCTCATGTTATGGCATTTAAGTGTAGTATATACGTATCACCACATCACACTCATTCCCTAGACATGTACCATTATGATACATCAATTAAAAAAAAAATAAAACAATTAGTGTTCTTATTACCCAGTCTTTCAATCTTTTCCCGTGTCTTTATACATTTCTTCTTTTTAATGTTTTTTTTCCTTTCTCTTTCCTTCCCACTTCCTTTTATCCTACACTTTGGCTCTAAGTAAAACACAGCATCAAAAGTCTAGTTTTCAGGGCTGCCTCTGATTTCTCTGCCTCTTCTCTTCCCCCCCACCATCCATTCTACAAGGGAGCACGTGTATGCTGGGGGATTCAGAAAGATCACTAGAATTTCTAGTTATATTTATTTTGTATCCAATCTTTTTAAAATTTCTCTATTTGTGGCCATTTTATAATTTCTAGGGCAAATGATTAAAGTGCTTGGAAAACATTGAATTGTTATCCAACATTCATAGAAACATGCTATTCTGCCTCTGATTCTGCAAAATTACTTAATTTTAGGTGACTAAGTCTTATATTTTGAAGATGAACAAGAAAATAAACAAGCTTTTCAGAAGAAATGACACTTAGAAATCGAGAGTAGATATTATATTTGTTTTCAAGATGGAAATAATAACACCTTTCCTGTGAGGGAGGTGCAGGGGAATAATTAGATCATCTCTGCAAAGTGTCTGAGGATGTTTCAAGGTGATGATTATCATGGTAGTTATCATTATTTTCCTCCACTTAGGATTGCCACTGTGTTTCCCATCATTATTTAATTGCTTAGTCAACATGCTGGGTCCTAAGGTTACATTTTAGCTTTATTTTTTTTTAAACAAAATTAAATCTTACCCTTGAAAATTAACTTCATGATCTATTAATGTCAAAGTGATGGATATGAAAGCAAGAGAGAGAGAGAAGGGTGTGTGTGGGACTGGGGAGATCCTTCTGTAGGACTCCAGCATTAGAAGAAATCTTAAATGTTTTAATGCTTAAGTCTGGCCTGGGTGGTTCATTTATTTTCCAGCATTTGAAAATAGAAGTAACTTTCCAGCCTTTTTGCTGGAATTTCACTGACTTTATAAATTTTATCTTCAACTGAGAAGTTATTTAAATATTAAAAATGACCACTGACTGCCATGCATAATGCATGATTGCCCTGTCTTGGGGAAAGACACATAAATATTATGAGCATCCATCACCACCTGGACTGTATTTAAAAGTCTGTTTCCTGCAAAGAGCAGTGGAACATAAAAAATAAAAACAAAATAAACAACAACAACAAAAACCCAAGCCCTGGGAGCAACTTTTATTTGACAGCAAAAATGATAGCAATCTGCCAGCTCTGCATGCTTACTAGCACAGGGTTACTGGAAGCTACATAATTCTTTCAAGGACTTCCTCTCTGTGAGGCAAAGAAACAGGTTGGTGAGTGTGCTTTTACAGGATCCCAAGTAAACCCCTCTTATCTCAGAATATTTTTTTTTCAACTTTATGGGTTCCATTAAAGGAAAGACAAACAAGCTGAATTTGAGTAATCCCTCCCACGGCCTTTTAAAGAGCTTCCTTGATATATGTTGGGCTTCCTACATATCATTACAGAAAAATAGCCAAATCATTAAAAGTGCAGATAATGGAGATGGTGTCACTTCAATTACTGATGTGATAGTACTACAGGCACTGTCCAGCTCTGAAGCAGGGGGATGAGAGCATCATCATGTAACATCTCATGAAAGGCACCCCCTGGGTTTGGTACTCACAGGTAACCTTCTAAAATAAACAGGTGATTCTTGATATCCTTCCCTAGATGATCACGGTTTGTCCCTGGGGAGATTTTTGAAAAACAGAAAAAGAAACTGCCAAGGTGTGGTGGACATTTGGGTCAGAAACTTTAAAATTCCACTTCTGGTTATTGTAGCTTATTGGGGGCAAGACACAAACTTTCTGAGCTTCCGTTTCTTGTCTGTCAAATAAATGTCCAAACTCACACAATATAGAGCTGTTGCAAGGACCAGAGGAGGAAATGTCCAAGTCCTTTGTAAAACTGAAAGTCTCTTTACAGATAGATGTGTCATATTCCATTATTGTTACTTGTTGGAGGAAAGGCAGTAAATCAATATGACCCGTGTATCCTGATTTCATTGGGTCTATATTTCTGTTTGAGTAAGTCATTATCATTACAGTTCCCTGAGCTGCTTAATTTTAGGAAAAGAAAAGAAGGAAGCAACAGAAAGAGGGAATATAATGGAGCGTCTACTACGTGACAGGCACTGAGTGAGATTCTTTCACATACCTAATTCTATTTCATTTGTACACTAATCTTGTAAGGTAGGCATTAATCCTGTTGTACACAGAAGAACTTGAATTTATAGAATTTAAGTGATTTTTGTATTGTTTTGGTTTGTTTTTGTTTGGTACCAGGGATTGAATTCAGCTGTGCTTAACCACTGAGCCATATCCCCAGGCAATTTTTAAATTTTTTATTTTGAGACAGGTTCTCCCTAAGTAGCTTAGGGTCTAAATTGCTGGGGCCCTTTAACTTACGATCTTCCTGCCTGTCAGTCTCCTGAGCCTTTGGGATTACAGGCGTGCGCCCCGTGAGGGACTTCAGTGACTTTTTAACATGACCACTCAGTCAGTTCCTCTACATGTGATGCCTTCTTGAAGCAAGCTGAAGAAAATAGCATCTATTACATACTGATTTAATTCTTCTAATGTCTGGTGCTGTATGGATAC